GTTCAAACTCGCCGTATTTTTTGGCTCCGGAAGTTTTAGTAGTTTATTTCGGAGGTGCCCTAGGCCAGGCGGCAGCACAGTCGGTTCCCCTCTCTTCCTCTCTTCTTCCTTTGCCAACAAGTCGCTGAGTGCCATTAAAGTGCATGAAAGTATTGTGATATGTGGATTCTGTTACATAGTGCTATATTTTTGTTGTTTCTTTTACTGTGTATTGTGCAGTATATTGTGCTAAAATTTATTATTTAATCAACTTTATAATGGTTGTATTATGGTGAGTACTAGTGATTGTGGTGTTACTAGTAATTGTGTTGATTTTATCGTGATTATTGTCGATAGTTTTTGTTTAATATAATTTCTCTACGTTATTTAGGGCATTATTTCGTTATTGTTTATTACTTATATTAATTTAAATTAATTAGTATAGTATATTAGAGTATATTGATTATTAAATCTAGAATATTAGTAGTAATAGTAGCAGTGTAATATTTAGTAGTAATTATTCTTAGTANTTATTAATAGTAATATTATTTATTTTTTAGGTCGTAATAAACATTTTAGGAAAATAGTTGGTAAATGTTGCGTGCCCAATTGTACATCAAATAAAGAAANTCCACAACATGAATTTCCAAAGAATGTGTGACGGACAGAAATATGGTTAACAGCAATGAAAAGAACAGATATAATTGTTAAGAATATACATATCTCTATACTTTCTTGCTTACTTTGTTCTTTCTTTCTCTTCGTAAAAAAATAAATTAAAAATCTAAGTAGATCTAAGTTAATTAAATCTACTTATTGTTACATCTGTTCAGATCTAAACAGATCTGAGTTGATCTAATATAGTAAATGTGAGTAGATATAAGGTAGATCTAATAATAAATAAAAGTGTACATTTACATAAATCTACTTATATCTATTTACATCTACTTCATATCTATTTGGAGTTACTTAGATCTATTTTTCTGCTTTTTTTATCTTGGTAGATTTAATCTATTAATTTAGATCTACTTAGATTTAATTCATTTTTTCACAGAGAGAGAGAGAGAGAACAAAGTAAGCAAGAAAGTACAGAAATATGTATATTCTTACCAATCATATCTGTTCTTTTTATTGCTGTTAATCACATTTTTGTCTGTTGCCCATCTTTTGGATGTTTCATGTTGTAGAATTTCTTTATTTGCTGTGCAATTGGGCACGCAACATTTACAAACTACTACTTTCCTGAAATGCTGATTACGACCTAAAAAATAAATAATATTAATATTAATAAACACTAAGTATAATTACTACTAAATATTATACTGCTAATATTACTACTAATATTCTATATTTAATAATTAATATACTAATTTACCATACTAATTAATTTAAATTAATATAAATGATAAATAATAACTAAATAATGCCCTAAATAACGCAAAGAAATTATATTAAATAAAAACTATCGACAATAATCAGTTGATTTAAATAGTTTTTGTC